AGCTGAAGGCTCGTCCCTCCTGTGATTCCCGAGCTGAGGGCCCGTCCCGTCTGTGACTGTCAGCTTGGGGGGCGGGCGAGGGACGGGAGTCCGCGGGATTAAAGGGATGCCCAGGGAGCTGATTGGCAGCCGTGCCGCCGTCAACGTCCACCTGCCAATTTAAAGACTCCCGGGCTACAGGCCCCTCCACTCTCGCTGCTTCGCACGGCGCTCCCCGGGCTGAAGGCCCGTCTTCTGCGTGTACAACCTGGTCGCGCCCGGGGGAGGCGGCGGGCGGAAGGCGGGAGCCGCTTTGACGTAGGATCAGGTCAGCTGGAGGGGTCGGTTGCGCGACCTGGACGGAGGCCTCCACGGTCAAGGGATCGACCCCCTCGCAGCCGAAGGCTGCCCCTCTCTGTCTTGACGCGTCCAAGGGAGGGTGGTCGGCGGAGTGAGGGCGTGAGCCAATGGGATGTGGATCGGGGACATGGGCGGACTGCGTTCGGTCCACCCACCCATCGTCACCGCTGCCACCCCACTGGGCAGCCTCAAGCACCGGCCGTCCACCCTCGTTGGACAAGCTCCTGGGCCGATCTTCCAGAATGCTGCCGTCACTCATGGCCACAGTCTCTGCGGCGCTCTCGGCGTCCATGGGCATCGTCTCTGGATCTCGAGCTGAAGGCTCGTCCCTTCTGAAACTGCGAGATACGCCTTGGAGACTCGAGCTGAAGGCTCGTCCCGCCTGTGACTCCCGAGCTGGCGGGGGATTCGCGAAGCGTCAACAATTATGAGAAAGTCCCGAGCGATAGCGTGCTTCCTGACTGTCGAGGGCGCGGCGTCTGAATCAATTGCGAGGAAGTCAGTCCCAAGCGACAGACGATGCCTGAGCGTCGGAAGCGCGACGCCTGAATACATCGGAAGGAAGTACTGGGCGAGAGCGCGATCCTTAGATAAATTGAAAGGGAGTCCCTAGCGAAGGCGCGATTCTTCAAACAAAAACTGCAAGGACGTATAAGTTGGGAGCTGTTTGTGTTGTTCTAGTCCGGGGGCCAGGGGATCAGTTCGAACAGGAAGATTCTCCCTGTCAAAGAACAGGGTTCGAGTCCTGGAAAGGGGCACTTGAATTGAAAAGCACGTAAATTACGCGAGCGCGTGACTCCTGCATAATTCGCCAGGAAGTCTTGAGCGAGACCGCGATGCCTAAGCAAATTATGAAAGTCCCAAGCGAGAGCGCGATTCCTGAATGGCGAGGGCGCGGCGCCTCAACTAATTGCGAAGAATCACCAGCGAGAGCGCGATTCCTTAACAAATTGCCATGAAGTCCTTTGCGAGAGCGCGATTTCTCGATACAGTGCGCAGAAATATCAGGCGGGAGCCGTTGTTGTTGTAGTCCGGGGACTAGGGGCGCAGTTTGAGCAGGAAGATTTCCCCTGCCAAAAAACAAGGTGCAAGCCCCGGGAGAGGCACTTCAATTGAAAAAACACATATGTTACCGGAGGGGGGGGATCAACACGAATTATTATTCAATCGTGAAAAAATGAACCGCAGCAACAACAACAATCATTTTGAGACTGCTCGCTTTTATCTACTCGCAGGCCATCCAACACGTATATTCCAAACCATCGATACCCGCCCTCTTCGTTTTCGATCGTACCCCCGTGGGGGTATATCTTTCTTACCCGCAACGTGTATTTCGTGCAGCCCCCACGGCAGGGGAAGAGAGGACGGATTGAAGGAAGGGACAAGGGGGAGGGAGGAGGAGGATGGAGCACGACAGAGAATAGCAGGAGGGGGGCTAGGGAGCAGAAAAAACGTGGTAGAACCAGACGGGCAGATCGGGCGAGTAGACCCTAACGGGCGGGTCGGGAAGGCGAGCCCAGGCGGCCAGGTCGAGCAGGCGGATTGCTGAAGCGTGCGTCCTGCATGAATCACAAGAAAATCTCGAGCGATAGCGCGATTCCAAAGTAAATCTCGAGACAGATCAAAGCGAGAGTGTGATTCCTGAATGTCCAGGGCGCGGCGTCGGAATAAATGGCGGGGAAGTCCGACGCGAGAGCGCGATATGTATAAATTGTGAGGAAGTCCCGCGCGAGAGCGCGACTTGGGAATACATTGTGAGGAAGTGTCAGACGGGAGCCGTTGTTGTTGCAACTCGGGGGCCGAAGAACTCAGTTTGTTGACACCCGACCTTCCTTTCTAACAAACAGGGTGCGAGCCCCGGAAGGAGCATTTCACTTGGAAGTAAGCATACAACAACAAGAGCAGCAGCAACAACAGCAGCAACAACAACAACAGCATCACCCAACAACAACAGCATCAACAGCAGCAGCAGCAACAACAACAACCATAGTAGCAACCAATAGCAACCACATCAACACATGAGGACAACGACAACTCGACGGGCGTTTCGTGCACCGTGTCGGGGCCTTCGGGCCTCGCTGATCGGTCGGGCTCGAACGTAGCAAGCAACTGCCAACGATGACACATGGTGAGGCGTTCTCAAGTCACCACGATGCGGACCATGGCATTATGTGGACTCATGACGCTGTGGAACCCATCTGGCTCGCAAAATCGGGCGCGAAGGGGGCGTCGAAAGCTCCAGTCGCGATTTGATGCGCGACGTCAAAGATTTTGCCACGACGCCAGATGCGCAGGTCGCAATGCCGCTGCCGATGGACGGAAGGCAACGCGAGCCCGCGTCCACTGCGCGGAGGCCGCAACGGCGACTGCGCAGACGACGGCGGCGGCGACGACGGCGATGGCGCCGATGGGAGAGACAACGACACGAGTCTCCACAGCTTTCTGCAAGTCCCTGGAACTCCCTGGACGTCTCTGGAAGCCTCCGCCTGGAGGTCGCGGAGGTCGCCAGAGGTCTCTCCTGACGTCCCTGAGGCTTCCCGGAATCTCAGAAAAGGACCTGAAACGTCGAAAAAGTAGAGGATCGGGGATCGAGCATCGACCCTCGCCCCTGCATGAGGAGGGCGAAAGTGACAGCGACATCGGCAGCTTTTCCAAAGGCAGACAGCGATCGCAATCAGTGCACCGCGCGCTAAGCTGGCTTGTAGCGGCACAACAGTGAGAACGTCCGGGGCCACGGTCGGTTTCTTCCTCCTCCTCCGCCTCCTCCTCCTCCTCATACTTCTCCTCCTCCTCCTGCTCCTTCCATATCGTCCCTGCTTCTGCTCCTTCTCCTCCTCATCCTCCTCCTCCTCCTCCTCCTCCTCCTCCGTCTCCTCCACCTCCTCCTCATCATTTCCCTCCTCCTCCTGCTCCTCCTCCTCCTCCTCATCCTCATCCTCCGCCCCCTCCCTCCTCCTCCTCCTCCTCCTCGTCCTCCTCTTCCTTTTCTGTTTCTTCTTCTTCCTCCTCCTCCTCCTCCTCGTCATCATCAGCATCAGCATCATCATCATCATCCTTCTCCTCCTCCTCCTTCTCCGTCCTCCACCTCTATCCTCCTCCATCCTCCCCCTCCTCCTCCCTCCTCCAAAAAAAAACTCCGAATAGGGGAGGGCGGCCAGCAGGAGCGGCAGCAGCGGGAGCAGGAAACTCATGGGCCGCAGCAAGAGTGGGATGTGGAGGAGGAGGAGGAGGAAGAGGAGGAGGAGGAGGAGGAAGAGGAGGGAGGGAGGGAGAAGGGAGGAGGAGGGAGGAGGGAGGAGGGAGAAGGGAGGAGGGAGGAGGAGGGAGAGAGAAGGGAGGAGGGAGGAGGGAGGAAGGAGGAGGAGGGAGGAGGGAGGAAGGAGGAGGAGGAGGAGGAGGGAGGAGGAGGAGGAGGAGGGAGGAGGATGGAGGAGGAGGAAGAGGAGGTGGAGGAGGACGAGAGGACGAGGGATCGCAGAAGCAGGAGGCAGGATGAGCACGAAGAGAAAACGGTCCAGAGTTGCAGACGCTCAGCCTTCCGCTGAAAGGGGGGGGGATGTACGTTCTGGGGCAATGGGAAAGCCTTGCAGCCTCACGCCTCACAATGTTGGGTATGGAAAGTCGCGACCTGGCCTCAGGAACGCGGGTAATGAGCACAAGCCCCCTCGCCGAAGGCCCAACCCAACACCATAAAGATGCGCAGAACAACAGATTCCAAGGTCGATGGACCAAGCACGAAGAACATGAGAACACAAGAGCAGCCCTCCAGAGCAGGATGTCTTGCACACCCTCGTGCCAACTGTAAGGTGTCAGAAGGCGAGCGCCTGGTGGTCATGTGTATCGACAAACGTGGTTTCCAACATGGCTTTGGTTTTCCTATGGGTCCCGAGCGCACCTGGCTGCTACCCATTCCTAACGAACCTTTCCACGAGCGCCCCCACGAGGTGAAGAAGCCGACCCGCACCGTTGACGTCCATCGACGCCAGGGGGGATGGGATGTCGCACAAGTGTGTAGCAGCGCATCAGCCATCAAAGTGTCTCGAATGGTCGAGTCGCGCAGATCGTAGAGACGTAAGACTCGAGCTTGGGAAACTTGCCCGAAGCAGCCGTCAGAAGAGTGACGGGACCTGGTCTGAAATGTGACGCGAACTCCCGCTGCAAACATTCCACGAAACTGGGCAGTCAAAATTCACGCACGCCGGGCCAGCACCGTCGAAAAGTGCGGCACACTCGAGTCTAACGTTTCTCCGAATACACACAACCGAAACCATGATCCAGAAACTTATCATGTAAGAACACTGGGCCAGCTTCCCGCAAGTTTCTTAAAACGAGCCTGGGCCAATGTCTGTGGTTCACGCTGGAGGGGCGAACGTGCTCAAGACGCTGGGCCAGCTTTCCAGCAAGTTGGTCGAGAAACGCTGGTCCAACGTTTCGGGGGGGAGTTTCTGAATATGACGTTCGACTGTATGTAGGCTGAGCTCAGAGACTTCCGTGCAGTGTGCTCGCGCCGCCCACAGGGCGGCAATCGTCCTCTCCACTCCAGCAGGTCGTGAGTTGGACGACGGAGCTTCGCCAACGTAAGTTGGGGCTTCCTGCGATGAGCGTCGCTCATCTGAGGTATTGCAACAGCTTGCCCTGAACACTGCAGTATGCTCCTACACTCAAATGTCAATATGTTTCTTGCATGCCAGGTTCGCGGTGGCGGCGGCAGTGTGGTCGTCCTCGCCGAGAAGACCTCCGATCGGATATTTGAAATTCCGCAGGTGCCTTGCGAAGAAGTTCAGGTACTCGACGCCCTGGTTGGTGTGACCATTAGCAACTTTCAGCTCCACACCGCCGAAGTTCATCCAGCTCGTCTTGCCAGTGCGGCCGATATCGCTGCCTGCAGTATAATGCAACCCACCCTTGAACTTCGCGTCCACCCACCTCCCTGTAACGTTCAGGTTCCTGAAGTACATGTCTGCGCAAGCGCCGCCGATCTGGCTCACGAGAGCATCCACCCGAAGCATCGTCCTGGTGTGAAAGGTCCACCTGGGGATCTGAAGCAAAATGTGGCTGCCAGGCTGCAAGATGTCGAAGCGCTGGCCATGCATGTTGACCAAATGCGGGTCCCCAGCGGCCTTCACCGACCCCTGCACCTTCGCCCGCTGAGCAGAGTCCCGTGGCCGCTGGACAGTATCCCGTGGAGATTGTTGCTGCGCTTCTGCCGCGTGTAGGGCAGCCCTCGGTTCAGGGCCCTTGGCGGAGGGGGGAGGCGGCAAAATCCGCCCTGGCTGAACAGTGCCCTCGGAGACGCGGTCGGTAAGAGGAGCGTCAGTATCAGAGGCCTGGCTGAGGGGCTCTGCTCTGGAGTGGCGCTGCTCTGCCGCGCGCGCCCGCCTCTGCAGCGCGCCCGCCTCTGCAGCTGCAGCGCCTGCCTCGGCCAGAGCCCTCCTCACAGCGTCTTCAGCAGAGCCCTGGTGGCGGGGCTCTGCTCTGGAGGGGCTCTGCTCTGCACTGTGGATGGCCTCTGCAGCACGCGCCCGCCTCTGCAGCGCGCCCGCCTCGGCAGCTGCAGCGCCCGCTTCGGCCAGTGTCCTCTCCACTGTGGTGTCGGTTGTCCCCTGGCTGTCATCACTGGAGACGCGGTCGCTTGGCTTCGCCTCCTCGGCTGCTGTCGCAAGTGCTTCAACACCCTGAGCTGGCTTCGCTGCATTCGTTGCCGCTGCAAGTGCGGCCGCTGGCTTCGCCTCCTCGACTGATGCCGCCAGTGCCTCAACAGCCTCAACTGGCTTCGCATCCCCCGTTGCCGCTGCCGGTGCGGCCTGCGGCTTCGCCTCCTCTACTGCTGCCGCTGGTGCCTCAACTGGCTTCGCCTCCTCAGGTGCTGGCGCGGATCCCTCGGCCAGCATCCTCTCTACGGCGTCATCGGTTGGCACCTGGCTGGTGCTGTTGGATGCGCGGTCGGATGGCCCAGTGTCGGCAGTGCTGTCCTCAGCCAGCATCCTCTCCACGGCGTCGTCGGTTGGCCCTTGGCTGGTGACGTTGGAGACGCTGTCGGATGGCCCAGTGTCGGCAGTGCTGTCCTCCGCCAGCATCCTCTCCACGGCGTCGTCGGATGGCAGGCTGGTGCCGTTTGATACGCGGTCAGTTGGCCCAGTGGCGTCGGTGCTGCCCTCGGCCAGAATCCTCTCAACGGCGTCGTCGGTCGGCACAGTCCCAACAGCCTCAACAGCCTCAGCTGGCTTCGTCTCCTCCGATGCCGCTGCCGGTGCGGCCTCAGGCCGCGCCTCCTCGGATGCTGGCGCTGGTGCCTCAACTGGCTTCGCCTCCTCAGAAACTGGCGCGGATCCCTCGGCCATCATCCTCTCCACAGCATCGTCAGTTGGTCCCGTTGCCGCTGCCGGTGCGGCCTCCAGCTTCGCCTCTTCGGCTGCGACTGCCAGTGCCTCAACTGGCTTCGCCTCCTCAACTGCTGGCGCGGATCCCTCGGCCAGCATCCGCTCCACGGCATCGTCGGTGGGCACCTGGCTGGTGCTATTGGGTGCGCGGTCGGATGGCCCAGTGGCGGCGGTGCTGCCCTCGGCCATCATCCTCTCCACGGCGTCGTCGGTTGGCCCCGTTGCCGCTGCCAGCGTGGCCTGCGGCTTCGACTCCTCGGTGGCTGCCGCCGGTGCCTCAACTGGCTTCGCCTCCTCAGAAATTGGCGCGGATCCCTCGGCCATCATCCTCTCCACGGCGTCGTCGGTTGGCCCCGTTGCCGCTGCTGGTGCGGCCTCCAGCTTCGCCTCCTCAATTGCTGCCGTTGGTGCCTCAACTGGCCTCGCCTCCTCAGCAACTGGCGCGGATCCCTCGGCCATCATCCTCTCCACGGCATCGTCGGTGGGCACCTGGTTGGTGCCCCTGGTCGCTGCCATTGCGGCCTCCAGCTTCGCCTCCTCGGCGGCTGCAATCGGTGCCTCAACCGGCTTCGAATCCTCCGCTGCTGGCGCGGGAAACTCAGCCTGCTTCGCCTCCTCCGTTTCTGCTGCCGGGGCGGCCTCTGCCTTCGCCTCCTCCGCAGCCGCCGCCAGAGCTGGCGCCGAGTCCACGCAGGCACGGCTTGTATCCGCCGCGAAGAAGCGAGACGTCCCTGCTATGGCGAAGTTGCGGCTCCATTCCGACTGGCCGTTCTTGCTGGGGATCCTCGCCGCCATGGCGAAGCGGGACGTGTTCCGGAACTCCACCATGAAGCACCGCTTGGCCTGGTCGACAGTACGATTGGTCGCGACGGTACGGTTGGGGCCCGTAGAGCACGTGACGTTGGTCAGAACGTTCGGGTCGAGAGGGTCGTCGCAGGCATCGCCAAATCTGAGAGAAATCACCGTGACCCCGAACGTGGACCCGTCCATCGCCATGAATTTCTTGGCCTTCCTCCCCACAACCTGCGTGGGGATGACCTCCTCGTGGTGGTTCAGCGGCGCGGCGGCGTGGTCACGCTCGTCCTTTGCGAGGTGGTAGAGGAAGTCGGGCCCGTCGGCCGCGACGTAGAAGGCACTGACGTCCGATAGGGCCAGCTCCTCGTTCTGCTTGGACTTGTAGTGGTCGACGTCGCAGAACGTGAGCTTGGCCAAATTGGGGGTGACCTGGCTCTCGGTGCCCTTCTCCACGAAGGTTCCCTCCAGCTCCACAGAAGTGCCAATGAAAAGATTCATCCGCGCAGTGGCTCCAGAAACACGGTTGAATGCGGGGATTTTCGGCTGGTACGTGGTCGTGTTCTTGAACATCAGGTCGAATGCTGTCCCTGAGGCCCCAAGCTTGCCTGCTCCCTGGAACCGCAGCTCCCTTCTTGACTCGGTATCTGGGCCCATACCTCCGAGATTGGACTGCACGGTTGAAGCGCCGAAGTCGATCCAGTCCTCGCATGGCTGATCAGGGAGTGTGGAGAGCGTGCTGTGGCTTGCCTGAAGCAGTGACGTATCTACAGAAGTCACAATGCTTTCTCCGAGCACGCTACTGGTCGAGTAAAAGAATAATAAATAACAGTGCGGGAGATTCGACATGAATTGTCTCGGCTCCAGTCTTGGAGACGAGACGTCGCTATCTGAGTGTGGAGGCCGTCAAGGAAATGTGCAGACCAATCTGGCGTTGGGCCGGATGGCTGCGGAGGGATAGAAGGGGGAAGACCGCCGAGATGATCTGCCGACCCCCGCTTGCCGTCGGAGACAAGGCGTGTGAGACATTTGAGCGACGATAAAAAAGGCGTCTTACGCGAGATGACAACGACCCTACGCGGTGGCGTACGCGGGCCGCCAGCGCGGTATGCTACATTGGGAACGAGCTTACGTGGCCAGCTCACGCGCCAATGTCGGCGAAGACGGGCCCGTTTTCCTGCGCTGCTCATCTGGATGTCCCCCTCATTTGCCCCCCCCCCCAGGGTCCCAAATCAGAGTATTGTAAAGGGGGGGTCCGGGCTCCCTGTCGCACCTCCAGAGCCCCCGCAGCCTCCAGCGCTAGACTGCGAGGTCTCCACAATGCCCAAGAGATGCCAACAAAGCATGCTCGAGCTGGGCTCCAACGCGCCGAGAAGGCCTCAAGGACGGTCCAAGACGGCTTCAAGACGGCCTACGAGGCCCCCGAGGCAGCCCAAGAGTGCTCCCAGAGGGCCGAAGAAAGACCCCAAGAGTCATAGATCGAGCGACTCCCGTAGGAAAACGCACATCTTCGACATGCACGGTGACTTCGTCTTGACAGCGTCCACTGCGGCCCAAGGAGCCCCCAAGAGCGTCCAAAGACGGCGCAGGAGGCCCCGAAGAGGGCCCAAGATGATTCACTAGAGCCCCACGAGGGCCCAAGAGGGCCCCGAGACGGGGCCCCTAAGACGGCACAGGAGGGCCCCACGAGGGGCCCAAGAGGAGCAATATGAACTGACATCTTGAGTCTTTCTCGACGCGATGGCCCCAAGAGCCCCCAAGTGACCCCCGGGGCGCCCCCCAAAGGCCCCGAGAAGCTTCCAAGAGGCATCCGAGAGGCCCCCGAGAGGCTCCCAAGAGCCAATCAGATGCCCCCTAAGACCCCTCCAAGAGTCCCCTGAGAGGCATTCCAGGGGGCCCTCGTACGCATCTCCGAGGCGCCTGACCCACAGGCCAGGCACGGTGGCACGACTCTTGACGAGTTCACTGCCATGGGGGTCGGCGAAGTGTCTCAAGCCTCTTGGATGACACCTCCGGAGGCTGAGCCACTGCATGCGAATCCGACGATGGTGCACGCTCGACTCTGAAGGGCCGGGAACGCGCTACAATAGACACACGACGAGGGTCGGCGGCGAGCGAGGGGGGGAAGTGAGAGGGAGAAGGCCTTCTCAGAAGGTTCGGAAGTCCCCCTGGCCTTCCGAGAAGTGTTCTGGGCCTTCCCCGAAGACAAAACAAGCTTCTCAGGATGCGCGAGGGCTTCTGAGGAGTCCCGCCGCCGTCTGAGAAGGCCTTCTCATTCTCATTTCCCCCCATTGTTCGCCGCCGAAAGGACACTTGACATGAGAAATTGTAAGTGCACGGCTGTCGTCGAGCTTTGAGCTTCCCAAGGTGCCCCAAGATCCCTGTGGGCCCAGGAGGCCAGCGAGGGGCAGGAAGCCTCCGTGGGGCACCTGCTGGCAGCTCGGTCTCGATGCTCTTGTTTTGCGTGCCGACGGTACCATAGGGGCTCGACCACAAGAAACCCTCCACAAGAAGCCCAACCCTGAGACCCCAGGACGTCCATCGATTCTTGGTGTGAGGCTCCGTGGCTCCGCCGACCAGCCACGGAGCCGTGTTCCTGACCCCCCTGGGGGAACCCATCGCCACTGGTATCGACGACCTCCCGAGAGGAGCGCCGAACCATGGGGACCCCAGGGGAGCGAGGACCACAGCTGCCTCAGCTGTGCCTGCTCTGCCCCGCGTCTCGGTGCAACCACTCCTCAGGGGCCCCGGCCCCTCGGTGGGGCCGCTGCTCCTCCTCCTCCTCCTCCTCCTCCTCCTCCTCCTCCGCCTCCTCCTCCTCCTCCTCCTCCTCCTCCTCCTCCTCCTCCTCCTCCTCCTCCTCCTCCTCCCTCCTCCTCCTCCTCCTCCTCCTCCTCCTCCTCCTCCTCCTCCTCCTCCTCCTCCTCCTCCTCCTGTGGGCTCCTGCAGGCTTTGGGCCGGACCGACGTGCACGGGCGGTTCGCCCGACGTGCTGCTGCCCCCAAGTCCTGCAGCAACTCGTGGCGCGGTCCTGCTGTTCCAGGCTCCTCTGACACGGACCTGGCCCTTCCAGGCGAGGGAGAGTTGGTATAATCAGAAACTGTCGGAGGTCCGCGCGGATCTCCCAGGTCAGCCCTGGGCGCCCCTCCATGGCGGGCGGAGGGCCCCAGGGGGCGGCGCCGAAGGCGCCGCCAGGGGGGGTCCAGCGCAGATCCAAGAAAGCGGCGCGGACCTCCAGAAGCCCATGCTTAGGCCGTTGTCTTACGTTGCTCCCATCGTACTTAAGGACCACATCCCAGGAATAGTTTCGAGCACCAGGAAAAATGTCGAAAGAGTGTCGAAAGTCTCTCAGGGCCCGACACGTGAGAACCCTCGAGTTTTGGGGTACTTTTCTGGTGCTCGAAATTCTTTCTGGTGACCAAGGCTAAAGTAGGTTAGAACATCATAACTGTTGTCCCTCATTCGGCTTTCGGCCCTGCGGGAGCAGGCGAGCGAGCGGGGTCACGAGGACGAGGAGCGGGCCGACTGGGCCGACGGCGCCGGCGCGATCGACGGCCGCTGCGATCGCGCACCGGAGGGTTCCAAAGGGGTTTTGGGGGAGGGGGTTTGCCAGAGAGCCCCCCCAGGGGCCTCGGCGAACCCCGTCAGAACAGGGGGCGAACCCGAGCCCCTCGGGGACCCCTCTTGGAGCCCCTGGGGGACCCCTCCTGGAAAACCCCCCCCCTCCCCCCAAAAAACCCTTGTTGGAACCCTCCGGGCGCAGGGTGACCTCGCGACGGGCCCGCGCCGAGGACGCGGCCACCGGGTGCGGGAGCGCGGCGTAGCGCACGCCCCACGACGAGGCCCCCTGCAGCAGCACGCTGGCGTCCTCGCCCTCGCCGCCCGCCTCCTGCTGCGACCAGCTCAGCTGCCGCTCCCACTCGGCCAGGGCGCCTCCCAGCGCGCCGGCCGCCGCCCCGCCCTCCGACCAGGCGCCGACGGCGTCCGCGAGCGGGTCCAGCGGCGCGTCGCCCTGCGGCGCGGACTGGAGGCACCAGGCGACCGCGCCGGCGACGGAGGAGACCACGCTCGAGGGCAGGCCCATGCTAGGGGGCCACGTGCGAGCCCTACCCCTACCCCCCGCGCGGTTTCTCAGGGGGAGGGTGGGGTTCACTTCGCTCGGGAGCTCCAGAGCGAAGTGAACCCCACGTTCCCCCTCCGAAATGGTGGGGGGTAGGGGTACTCGTCGTTCATTTCTAATCGTGCTCATTTCTGATTGGGCTCGTTTCTAATTGTTCCTGGCCCCCTAGTGTCCAGGAAGAGGCCCAGGATAAAACAATTAGAAATGAAAGGATCTTGGCCCCCCAAAAAAATCAAATGACTTTCGAAAACATAGACATAAACAAAGTGTAGGGCTCGCACGTGGCCCCCTACATGCCGAGCCTGTACAGCAGCAGCGCGCCCGGGCAGTCTGCTGGCGACACCCAGGCGCTGCAGCCAGCAGCCCTCCCGCTGAAGCGGTCCGGGTGCAGCGCGCAGAAGGCCATCGCGAAGGGCGCCCCGGCGCACAGGAAGAGGACGGCTGCCCGCTCCACCCCGAGGTGGTCAAGGCAAGCCACCACGTCGCTGCAGGCCGTCGCCACCCGCACATCCTGCGCCGCGGGGCTAGCGCCGCCCATGCCCGGCCGGTTGACGCAGATCAGCCGCGCGCCAGCCTCGTGCGCCTGGAGGCGGAGCAGCGCGGCCATCCGCCTGCAGGCGCCCATGGGGTAGAAGAGCACGACGGGGGAAGCCGAGGCCTCTCCGACGAGCGCATACTCGATGGTGCGCCCGCCGCTCTCGAGGCGGTGCAGGCAGTCCGCCAGCCCCGCCCACGCGCAACGGGTCGCCTTCTTCTGCTCGCCCACATGCGGACCAGCATGAAGCTGGAGCGCTGAATGCATGTATTCCGCAGACGACGAAGCCTACTTGGGCTTGAGATTCTCCAGCCGCGGCTGCAGAGGGGGGCGGAGAGGGGAAACATGAGGCTGATCATGAGTCGCCCTGGCCAGCTTCGGTGGCCAGCCAGCGACGAAGCCGCGAGTGAACACGCCCAAGCAGACTTTCAGCAGCAGCATTCGGGGGCGCGCCGCCCTGCAGCTGCCTTCGCAGCTTGTCTCCCCCGCGCCTCCCGGCGCTGGGAGCGGCCATGCATCGAGGCAAGAGCCTGGCGGCAGGGCCACGACCCGCTGCACGAAGCAGATTTAGTAACATGGGACGCACAGAGACATACTGGTACTAGATGTCCTCCTAGGAGGCACGCGTCCGATCCGAACACATAGTATACCCATCTTGTAGCAGATCGATTCCCGAGCGTTGTGGCCAGAAAGCGCCCGCCTCGACACAAATACTATAAGAATTCTCGGTGCGCGCGTCGCCCATTGGGGGCGACGCACACATAGTAGTAGTATGTTGGGGTGGCGCCGATAAGACCTCCTTTCCCACTCGCCCCGTTTCGTCTGACCCGAGAAGGCGGTGCGTGCCAAAGCCTACGCACATCGGGATTGTTTCACGAAGTCGTGATTGTTTCACGCGTGGCTGCGCTGATCAGCTCCGACAACATGACTGCTAAGACGTTGGACCCGGAACTCTCGACTCCGTCCCCAAGACATCTTTCTCTCTACAAGCCGTACTTTTCCAGGCCGCAGTGCCCGCAAGCGGCAACCCGGGCGCCGAATTCGCTCGAACAAGAAGGACGCGCCGCGTTTGCTGGGATGCGTAACTTGAGGTCTGGATCGGGCCACCGATGTTCGATCCAAACCGAAACCTGGACCCCTCCCAGACACCATCCTGACAAGTTGTTCGAGGTGCACCCAGTCGTAGCCACGAAGGGGGCCACCGAGGCCAAGTGAGCCTCCCCGCCCTCCGAGTCGTCGTCCTTCTATGGAAGGGAAGGCCCCTTTATGAGGTCTTAAGAGATCGTCAGAGACCTCCAGAGGACTCCGGGAGGAGGAGAAGAAGGAGGGCTGTCCATGAGGCCTCTGGGGCCCTCCCCCCCCCCTGAGGATGATGATGATGCTGCTGATGATGATGATAATGAAAAAGATGATAAAGAAGATGATGAAGAAGATGGTGATGGTGCTGGTGATGGTGATGGTGATGGTGATGGTGATGGTGATGGTGATGATGATGATGATGGTGATGATGATGATGATGATCCTTATGATGATGATGATGATGATGATGATGATGATGATGATGATGATGATGATGATGATGATGATGATGATGATGATGATGATGATGATGATGAGAGGAAGAAGAGGAGGAGGAAGAGGAGAAGGAGGAACCATATGACCAATTCCATACGGACTCTTTACAGTCGACCCGTATGATAAGCACGCCTGGTAAGGACGCAAGGGCCATGGAATGCCACGTCGACATTTTGCGAGCGGGGCGCGGCCAGCGAAAGCGGCCAGAGATGGACCGAAGGGGAAGGATGCAAGGGCAACCTTGGAAAGTCGCTCCTCCTTACTATGCCGGTTGACTGCATTGTGTGCTTTGGGAAGGCGATGGAAAACACGGGGGAGCGATGGGGGGAGCGATGTCTTCTTCGTCGGCGGCGTGGCAGAGGCAGTTCGCACCAGCGCGGGGCCAATCGGGGCAACCGATCGGCAAATTGTCTGGCGCGCAAGAGGGAGAGGCGAAGACGAGGGCGGCCGCGCGAGGGAAGGAGGGGGGCGGGGGAACGCTGTCAAGATAGTGTTCTGCCGCTGGGGCAGTTCTGGCGGCATCGCTCCAAGAATCGCGGTGGCGACGACGCCCATGAGCAGGCCCCGAATCCAATCAGTTCAGCATATCACCCAGTGCGCCGAAGCGTGACCGGCCCCCCAAGGCTTTTGCCCGCTACCCTACCGCACTGCGTTACTGACCCCTCTTGGGGAATCCATCGTGTCGACGATCTCTCTCTCTCTCTCTCTCTGTCGAGAGAGAGAGAGAGAGAGAGAGAGAGAGCGAGGGGGGGTGGGGTCGAAGCCGATGGGGGCTGGCCCGCTCCTTCTCTGGAAGCCTTCGGCCTCGCGCACGGACGAGGACGGCACCCGCAGCGAAAGTCTGCCGGCCCGGGTCAGCCGCGACCTGGGTCAGTCAGGCTCTGCAGGGTCCTGCAAGATCTTCCAGGATCCAGCAGGGTCCTGCACCCAAGCCCAGGCCAGTGCACCGCTGGCTCCGAAGGATCCAGCAAGATCCAGCGCGCTGACTGACCCCCCTTTGCATTGACCCCCGTCTCTTGTCGGGGGCGTCCAAGAGGGAAAAGTGCAAATCATGGCCCGAGGCATGTGCGCGGCCCACGGAGGGGCCAGGGGAGCATTGAAATAAGAAGATGCGCCATTACATCTGGGGAGATATAATGACCCCCGCCATGATATCCGACCCCCGTTATGCATCACCCCCCTCTTGGGCGAGACGTAAAACTCGGGTACGGGGGACTCGAGTTGGCCTGACGGGGCCATCATGAAAATCACGAAACCCAATCTCAAATTAGACGCGAACTCCCGCTGCAAACATCGCACGAAAACGGGACCGTCAAAATCCAGGACGCGTTCGTCAAAAAACGTCTGAGCCCCGACAGAGAAACCTCGTGGAGCTCCCGGGGACATCCTGCGAAGGAGTTCGGGAGGGGGCTGGGCGCAGGGCGCAGGGCGGGTATAGCTAGACGAGCGCGTTTCACTACTCGCAAAGTAACTACTCGCAAAAGGCCTGGATCCGCCGCGGGGGATCTACGATACATTACATCGAAGTAGGCATGTGTTTTTGTTCTGACGTTTGCGAGTAGGGACTTTGCGAGTAGCGGAACGCGCCCAGTGAGGTATAGCGTCCACGGCTCCCCAGGCTGTGGCTGGTCTGCCCACACTTCTATTGCAGCACAGCTCGGATTTAGAAAAACTTAGGCCAAGAATATGGACTTCGCTCCATGCGTTTTCGTCAACCACCGCCAAGCTCCAGATATGAAAAAGTTCGACGACCGAAAAACTCAGAGAAAACGCCCGGGATCCAGTCCAGATTCTTGACTTTCTTACACGAAATCTGGAGTCAATAGAAGTTGCTGCTTTCTTCAAAAATCACTCATGTGTGCACAGCCGGAAATCTGATCAGGAAACTCGTCATTTCAAGTAGGCCAGCTTCCCGGCAAGTGTTTCAAAAATCCGCCGATCCAGCGCGCGAGTTTCAAAGAGCCTGAGCTACAGCCTACAGCCTGAGCTTCAGCCCTGCCGGGGAAGGGGTGTCTCTGCCGGGGATGGGCGGGCGGTGCGCACGTCTCTTTACAACCAGGCTAGTCCTTTCCAACCAGAAGGGCAGCGTTCCAACCAGCAAAGGCTTCCCCGGAAGGTCACTTTACAACCAGGAAAAAGAAGCACTTTCCAACCACGCAAAGAAAATCAGAAAATCCATTTGAACTGGATGTCCACATAATTCCAAGTCTCCGTCGTCCCACATACGGAACGCACTTCGCTGCCTGACGCGCGTTGGTTGTAAAGTGACTCGTCCTGAATGGGAAGTTGCAAACACACACTTCTGAAATACCTCTTAGAAATAGTAAAGGTGGTACTCGTAGTAGTAATGTTGTCGTAGTAGCTGTAAACGTAGCCGTAGTAGTGGTTGTAGCAGAAGTAACTGCAGTAGCAGAAGAAGAACAAGGCATAGGAGTAGTAGTTGTTGTAGTCGTAGAGTAGTAGTAGAGCAGCAATAGCAGTAGTAGTAGCATTCGTCACAGTAGTAGTGCTACTTGTACTAGTAGCAGTAGTAGTAGCAGTAGTAGTAGTAGTAGTAGAAGTAGTTGTTGTTGTTGTAGCAGTAGTAGTAGTAGTCGTAGTAGTAGTAGTAGTAGCAGTAGTAGTAGTAGTAGTAGTAGTAGTAGTAGTAGTAGTAGTGGTAGTAGAAGTAGTAGTAGTAGTAGCAGTAGAGTAGTAGTAGTCTGAATAATAGAAATAATAGTAGTCGTACTCGTAGTAGTAGTAGTAGTAGTAGCAGTAGTAGTAGTAGTAGTAGTAGTAGTAGTAGTAGTACTAGTAAGAGTAGTAGTAGTACTAGTAGTAGTAGTAGTCGTAGTAGTAGTAGTAGCAGCAG